TCCCAGTAGAGAACTACTGTCTAAAAATGATATCTTTGGTCACTGTGTGGAAAATTGGCGGGGGAAATGGGGTGGAGGGGAGGGCAAAGTATAAACAAAGACTACTAAAGGCTATTATAGCAATCCAGGCAAAAAAGAAGTGACTTGATGGTGGAATAGTAGAGACTAGGAAAGAGAATGAAATGCAGGATATATTTGAGATAGCTAGAAAGTACTTTGGAGGTTGAACCAACACAACTTGGGTGCGGTGACACATTAACCATACATCTTGATCCATCTGAGAGAGACCTGGCTCATCACTCTTTCCTGGTATAATTATTAATAGTGCCCCTTTCCGTTTCAAAGGTGTCCTGATTTTGGACAGTAAATGACATGTTTGCCTTGTGATAGTTGAGTGACAGTCCTGAGACATCTACTTGTATTTTTCATATTATCTTGTCCATGCAAGGGTCTTAAATTTTCAGTCTTTTCTCATCTGATGAGATAAGGAGAACACAATGTGTAAATATTTACATAGAGTAAGGAATAGAGTAATTCCGAGGAAGATAGAGGGGCAATATATACCCTAGTCTATCACTTGCAGTATGTTAAACACAACTTTATAGTTTAAATTACCATTCATCTCTGGGCTTTTCATAGATAGCATCTAGGGAAAAGAGAATGAGATACATATAATAGTAATGTATATATTTGTTCATTACATTTAACATGTCTAAGCAGGGTAGTTTGTTTTGGCTCCACAAGTTATGTAAGATACACATATATTTAGGGATTTTAACAAAATGTAAACTTGTAAAACATTTTTTAAAAATTCACCAATTAAATAGATGTGTAATTTTCTTCATTTTTCTGTCTAATGATGAATTAGTTGTTGGAGCTCCATGCTTGTTTTAATAAGGTCGAGGATGTGTTAATCCTCATGTGGAATGGGAAAGACACTTTTCCAGTAGTATTTTTAAAATAATGCACTTTGGGGGGCCACAAGAAAAAGAGGAAGAGAAAGAAAGGCCAAAAGAAAGAAAATGAACATCTCTGCACAAATCCATCTCCATTAGTAGAAATGAATGAATGAACAGACAAGAAAACACAGATGCCCAAGAGACTGTGTGTAGGAAATACGTCATATTCAAGGCAGAATGTTACCACAATGTTCAGAAACATTTCTGTTTTTTTGTTTTTGTTCTTTCTGTTATTTTGTATTAAAGTACTATATGTGAAGAAAGTTCTCTAATTTAATCTGCACTTTAGTCTTATGGGGTTACTGCTATCATTCTCATTTTTCAGACAAAACACCTGAAACTCAGAGACTCAGGTGAAAGGTAACACGACCCTGATGAAATTCCCACCCAGCTGCCTCTAGCTCCAGAGCCCTCCTTCCTTCCATTTTACCTCCCTGCATCATGATATTACTGAGAAAAGATCTGTTTTATTGTTGGGAAATTAACATTCAGAGTAATGAGATGATCTGCTCAAGGTCCTAAAGACAATGGGTGAAGGAATGGCTTGAATGGAAGCCATCTAATTTTTAGTTCAGTTTATACCATAGTATTTGGATATTGAGAATATTAAAATTCAATGAGTTTCTCAAGCACTTTCAACAGCCTAGCATGGTTTATCAGTGATTCATTTTCCTCAAACGGTCTCTGTAAATTAAGAAAAATATTGTCATACAAACCAAAGGAAGAGGAATAATGTTCAACTCCATAGCAGAGATACTGAGAAAGTGCCTATATGCAAATAGTATATGTTCTGTAGCTTGAAGCACAAATTGAAGATTTATAGAAAACTTACTATGTTGCCTCCCCAGTTAGTAATCTGGAGAGAGTGGTTATGATTGTATGGTGATTAAACATAATGGACTTTGGAGTCTGAACGGCCTTAGGTTAAATCCTGGTTTTTTCCTCTTAGAACTTTCTAACTCCATAACTGTATCTCAGTTTGCTTATCTACGAAGTAAGTATAAAATATTTATATCAAAGGATTGTGTTGAGGACTAAGATTTTGAATAATAAGGATTCACTGAATACTAGCCAATACTATTTACTAAGTGTTTCAACAAAAGTCTACTTGACTACTTGACTTTTCAGTGCCTTTTAATGTTGGACGGTCTTTTTTAGAGATATCTTGACAACTCACTTCTGGGTCTTCCCTTTTGTGTGTGAAACAGTTACTGTAGACACTTTTGAAATTATTTATACACAAATCTTCCTTTCTCCCTTTAGAGTCATAGATATTTAGGGATGACAGAGAAACCTTAAAAATCTGTTGTTATTGTTTTATTTACAAGCAAGTAGCCTATGAAGTTTAGAGTGTAAGGGCTTGCCCACACAGAGCATGGCAGTGCTGGTATAGGAACCTGGATCTTGGCTCATTGTTCTTCTTTCTCTCCCAACATTACCACATTATCCCTGTGTGCTGTGTCCAGCTTATTTATGTCTCCGATTTAATTTTTGGTTTCAGCAAAATGCAATAGAGCAGATACAGCTCTTTTTATTACTGTGGTGGATTGAGTTAAAAGGTAACTCAAATTTTAGAATTACCATTTTTTAATTTTGACTAGCCAGCCTTTCCCTAGTTACCTTTAAATATGTCAGGGAGCTAAATATATATCGATAGTAGGTTTGCCTAAGGGAGATTTAGTTCATTCTAATTGGCCAAACACTTTCAATTTATTCCTACTAAACAGGCCTTTGATATGGAAAGATTTATAGCTCCTCTTTTTTCTATCTAGAAGATAAATACAGTCTGAGATCAGAAGGGACTTCTTGTAAACCCAAGAAGGTTTCCAGATTGATGGGTTTTTATTTGTCCTAGCTTATACTGGTCTTTAGCCCTGACCCATTCAGCGTGTTTCAAATATATTTTATTTTACTTTATTTTTACATCTTTCTTTAGGCGACTGACCTGTGTCTCTGTTTGTTTCTTCACTCATTTGTGTTAACTGCATATTGTTTAAACCAAAGGATTAAGTGGGGAGTCTGTATTGCTTAATAAATTTGCCAGAAACTGGGTAGGCCAGCTTGCCTCTGTTCACGGAAAGCATGAGTGTTTTACAATTCATTCTGGGAAAACTTATGAACCCATACAAAAGAACTACTTGCTGTCTTGGACTTTGGATACCACAAAGGACTATTCAATTAGAGCTTCCATTCAGTCATAACTAAAACCAGTGTTGGGTGAGAATATGCTCATTTACAAATGGGTATTTGGGTAATAGTCTCTTGATAATCCCTTCTTGATCAGTTCTGTATGTGCCCCATTTTTTAATTTCTTTCTTTATTATTTTGTTTTATTCATAATGTCTAATTATAATTCAGTCTCACACTAACAGAGATCTTTTGAAGAATCCCTTTGCTCCCCAAGGGTCTTGACCAACACCCATTTCATGTTCAATGTTGCATCTCCGTAACTGTTTCTTCATGTCTCTCCATCTTCCCTTAAAGAATGTGGCCTGGAGAAGACTCCAGATAATGAATTAGTACCCACCCCCCCTCAAATACTTCAGTTCTAACTGATGTGAACTCATATAAAGACAAGCATAGCCACAAACACTCACCTTTATTTCTACACCTCCACCCCTACTCAGTACAAATTAGCATATTCTCTACCCTGGCCCCTGAGAGCCCAACTAAACATGTCGCTCATCCATCCAACAAACCAAGAGTACATTGCTCTGTACATAGTACCATACATGCAAAGATGAATGAAACATGATCCATCCAGTGTAGGAGACACATAGCTTACTCAGGATGGAGATAAAGTTAGAGGAATCTGAAAGACCCCAGACATTTGTGACATACATCATCAATGTAGTTGGCTTATATGTATCAGCTACTTCTTTGCTAAATGTCATTCCTAGTCAATTCTGAGTGTCTGCTGGGTGAAATGCAGAGAGTGATTCCTATTGTGATCTCTGACCAAAATGCTAACACAAACCAGATTGCTAAAGGTTTCTACGTTTACCCTGGGGAAATCATATCATTAGAAATTTTTGTAAGTTTGCCAAGCATTTTGCAAATGATACTTACTAATCTTTGTATGAGGTGAGCTCCGATCAATATAAAAGAGGAGAAATATTTAAAGAACTATTAAAACAACTGTGGGTACCAAGCCTTCATTTGGGGAAACCTAAGAAACTATAGTAATGAGAAATGTAATATAGTGTCTTATTTTCTCATTTATTTTTTTGGCAAATATGAGTTTGAGTATTCCAGGGAAGGTGATCTAAGGCAGAACTTTACCAACTGTTCCTGGAGACTGAGTAGGGCTCAAAGATTTACTAATAAACCAGAAAAATTAAGTTCTAGGTGTTTTGTGAAATTGAAAGTTGTTTTTACAGGTTAAATTTTATATGAAATTTTAAATTATTGTTTCTGTTTCCAAATCCTTTTTCTCTTTATTTAAAGTATTATAACTTCAACCAGTAAAAATAAATCCTCCCAAGTTACATCAACAACCAGAAATTAAGAGTTCAAATGTTGTAACTATTAGGCATAAACTGTATTAATCTATTTTATAATAACCAAGATTATTTTTAAAGAGAGAACAATGTTGCTATGACCCTTCAAATTTTCATTCACTACTTTTTTGCCCTAGCATATACTTTATTTAAAAATTACATTTATTCTAATTCTTCAATCCAAAATCCCAATTCCTAAGATGTTTTAGCAAGTTTAGAATATCAAAGACTAAGGTGAGATATTTAGACATATTTTTTTAAATTTTTTATTGTTATGCTAATCACCATATATTACATCATTTGTTTTGGTGTAGTGTTCCATGATTCATTGTTTGTGCATAACACCCAGTGCTCCATGCAGAATGTGCCCTCTTTAATACCCATCACCAGGCTAACCCATCCCCCTACCCTCCTCCCCTCTAGAAACCTCAGTTTGTTTTTTAGAGTCCATCATCTCTCCTGGTTCGTCTCCCCCTCTGACTTACTCCCCTTCATTCTTCCTCTCCTGCTATCTTCTTCTTTTTCTTTTTTCTTAAAATATGTTGCGTTATTTGTTTCAGAAGTACAGATCTGTGATTCAACAGTTAGAGACATATTTTTAGAAAGAAGTCTTTCTAGCAAAGTTTCCCGTGTCATTTCGTTTCCTCCAATTTAGTTCTTACCCAAAGCAAGATGACTATCTTTTAGAAATATGAGGATTGGGAAATGAGGCAATATTCTTCCTATAATTTCTTATACCCATTCCCTTCATGTGGTCTAGCCAAAGACATGTACTTGTCAGGGATCCAATGACTACAAAAGATTTGTTATATCACACCTTAAAACAAGGATATTTAGACAATTCATATTTTTCAACATCTTTCAGAATGGTAGGTCTTTAAATGATATAATAGTTTACTGGAACTGATGAAGAACAGACAAATGAAATATTAATTAAATCTTCTAAGTTACTTTCTGAAATTTTTTTATACTGAAAGAAAAATTAGCAAATAACTTCTGAATTGCTTCTAAATCCTCAAACATTAATGAACATTTGTGGTTAATTTTGTATATTTTACCTAGCACAAATAGGAATTTGAAAATTAATTTGATTTTTGCTAATAAAATGACTGTAAAAATGCTTTCTCAATGTGCTAGTAATCAGGACATTTACTGATGATTCTCAGTAGCAAATGATGGTGACCTAACTTGATCCAACTTAGGCATAATGATTTATTGGTTCATCTGATCAAAATACAGACAGGGCCTATTTAGGTCTTAGGGACAAATAAGTCCACAGGCAAAAATTTATCCCAATTTCAGACTATTCTTTTGGAAAAGTAGGGCAGGAAATGTTTAAAATCATAATCATAGTGATGATTTTCCAGGTGAATACATATTTCAAAACAAATCAAAGTAGGTACTTTAAATATGTGCAGTTAGTTTAGTGTACTTTGATTATACCTCAGTACATTTGTTTAAAAAAAGAAAAGAAAAATAGAGAACTTCCCAAACTTACATTCCCAAATTTTTCCCTCCAAAGGGAGTGATAAGATCTGCATCCTTTGGTCAAAATCCCAAGTTCTCTAACTGGTCCAGCTTCAATCAAGAGCCATGGCTAGCTCATCACCACAACCAGGGAGCTGAGATGAGGTCTTTAAGAACATAGTCATTCCAATTCCATCCATATGGTAGAAAAACATTTCTACCTCCTCCCACAAAAAAAAAAAAAAAAGGAAGTACCATTATGACTAGGAAAAAAATATATATGGGCTCTATATTTGAATCTGTGACTTTCATGGGCAAAATATACAAGTAAATATCAAGTCAGCTAGCAGCATTAAATAGATTTTACTTAGAGGAAATTTAGCAAAAGTTTTATCTTATGCTTTTTTTAATATCAAAGGGTTAAAAAACTATGGTCAGGATTTTTAAAATGTTAGGAAGGTTTTTCAGTGAAAAGCTCATTCACTTTCTTAAGGCAAGGCATGTTGTAGGGAGGAAGGTGGTTGGACAGGAAAAATGTAACATTAACTATGAAAATATATTCTTTAAGATTCAGATTTAAAAATTAGTTAATTGTCACTTCTTAAGGGTCTCAATAACCTTAAATATTGCTGTTTAAGCAATAGACAAGTTTTGCTGGGAAATTAAGAAATGCAAAGTGGCAGAACACATAGACACATAGTGTTTCCATTTTTTTCTTGACCTGATAAGTAGCAATAAAATACAATGAACAATAAAAGGTTTTTTTTGGGGGGGTGAGTAATAATCACTCAATAACTGCAAAACTTTTCAGTTTCTTTCCATTGTTTTTTCCTTGGGAGAACTCTGAGTCACTAGCTGGTAAATACAAAGGGAGAAAGGAAAAAAATAAAGAGGAGAACTAATGATTTTTTATTTATTTGAGAGACACTTTAAGAGTTTATGGATTGTCATCTTATTTAATGCTGACTACCCTGGGAGTCTTATCTTCATTTTACAAACAGAAGCTGAGGCTTAAAGAATTAACCCGATTACCCATATTTAATCAACGTAGTAGATGCTAAATTTCTCAAACTTCAAAGCCCATGTTCTTTATCTTACAGCAAACCGTTAGCCATTTACAATAAGGAAATGAAAGAGCAGCATTTAGGATCCTTATTTAATTCTGCAATTAAGTGTGGGAAGCCAACTGGGGAAGTCCTACTGTCCTTTACTCATCATGCCATCTGCCCCCCCTCCTCTTCCATTTCCTCTTTCTCTAGAGAGCCAGAAGCTTCAGTAAGCAGACTTTGAAATTGCGTGAAATGGGACTCTTCTAGATTCTGTTTCCATTGAACTCCAAGATCACTGATTGTAAAGGGTTTTTTTGGACTAGGATAAAGTCAACTACTAAAATTCCAATGTTGTAAGGTGAAGAGAAACAATATTTAGTGAGTTTCTGCTTTCTACATTAGTATCATCAAATGTTTTATCTATTTGATCACATTTCCTCTGCACAACCATTTAGATAACTATTATTATCCCAGTTCCATGTAAGAAACCCAAGGCCTCGAGAACTTACATGCTCCTGAATTGATGGATTCAAATTCATATCAAACACCAAACCTCAGACTTGTTCCTGTTAATAAACAGAGATTAATTGCATGTATTCCACATATGAAGGATTGTATTATCAGAGTGTTGGATGTAGAATCTACTCCAAAAGACTCAATTTAACAAATATATAGTAAGGTCCTGATTTATGGGAGGCTAGGTCCTTAGATAAAAAGAGGACTAAGACATTCCTTACCCTTCAGGAGTTCATAATCTCTTGTGGAAAACAGATTGAGAGTAATTTGAATAAACCAGAGGGTAACACAGTCTTCATAGAAGAGAGATATAAACGAAATAACAGCAAACCGTCTAATCCTGAGAAACCCTTTTCTTCTTGTAAAAATACATATGTATATACCCACTTTCCACTTCTGTTTTGATTTTTAACCTCCTACTAAATAAAGCTGCTCTCTGAATGAGGGCCCAAGTTTAGCAAATATCTTTGTATTACTCATTTCCAGAGTAAAAGATTTCCATATAAAACCCTTATAAAATATTTTGTAACTTTTCTATGATTCAAATCTTTTTCCTAAGTGTTTTGTCACTTAGAGAGACCTCTGGTTCCATAGCACTAATGTTTCCTCAGTATTATATTAATTTACATATTTTCTATAATTTTAAACAAAAGCTAAGTCTTAAAACAACACAAAAAATACATAGATTTCAAACAAACAACCAGAAATGTCAACTCTATGAGATTTGTGACAAATCTGGTTAGGACCTTTTAAAAATTGTGTAATTGGTTTCAGAATGGAAAAAAATTTTCATTAATACCAACTAGCATAACTGTTTTTTATGATCTCCCCCTGTTCCAGCATGAAAATCAGCTATAGGCAAAGCTGAGCTGGCTGTAGATAGTCCCCATGTAGATTTCCTTGATACTCAAAATACCTCTTTGGCAGTTTAATTCCACAATTAGAGATTTACTCCTATGGCTTAAGATTTCTTAACTCTTATTAAAATGTAAATATGCCAAAGAAAATAATATCTTGAACTTTGCTAGTTCAGTATTTACTAAAGCTAAATATATGCCTACCCTCTGATACTACAATTGCTTTAGTAGATGTACAAGCAATAGAAATATTTTCATATGCTCACAGGACTAAAATGTTCTGACAGCACTATTTGTAATAGCACCAAATGTAAACTACTTAAATGGTTATCAATAGAGTAGTGGGTAAATAAATTGTGATTTATTCCACAATGGGAAATACAGCAATGAGAATGATGAACTACAACTATTACAACAATATGGGTGAGTCTCACAAACATAATATTGAAGAAAGAAGCTAGATATGAAAAGATATACATAGGGTTTCATACGTATGAAGTTGAAAAAGAGTTCAAAGTCATCATTGATGTTAGAAGTCAGAAAAATGGTTATTCTTTGTAGGGGTGGGATAATGTCTCGAAACAGGCAATGGAGTTGCTTCTAGAGGCAGGTAATGTCCTATTTCTTGATCTGAATTTTCATTGTGTGTACATGGCCAATTTGAGAAAAAACACTGAGCCATAGTTTTTGATTTGTGCACTTTGTGTGTATATATTATATCTCAAAAATATAAATATAATTTTAAAAAACCACAAAGCTTTGCCAGTCACTATAACTTAATACCAGTGAGTTGAACCTTTTTTTTTTTTTAATTTTGCTAAGGTGTGTACCAGAGTCAGAACACCTGGATTCAAGGTCAGAATGCAGTCTGAGAGAAAGGTGATCCAGAAAGGGAAGGTTATAGGATGCTAGATGTATATAGGCATAAAATTGAAAAGAGAAAATGGGGCTAGTGATTCTCCAAAAGGTTTCAATTCACTGTGATTCAGATTTTATCTCTTAAGGAAGGCAGTTTATTTCAAAGTAGACACTCATTAACATATCAACATGCTTTGTTTCTTCTCTCACTCTCTCTGCTTGTGTGTGTGTGTGTGTGTGTGTGTGTGTGTGTGTGTGTGTGAGAAAGAGAAAGAGCATAATGCTCTGATTAGGTGAAAATTTCCTTGCTTCCAGTTCTTTACATATTCTGTAGGCACTGAATTAAAATTGTCATTTTGCTGCTTTTGGTGTAGGTTGATCTTTCTAAACACAATTCTTTCCAATACCATAATTAATGTCTTGGTTTCCAATAGCTTCACATAAAGCCCAAAGTACCCTTATATAATTCCCACATGACTATCATAAAAAACAAAAAAAGACAGACTATTCAATCTCCATGCTTCAGTGGAGGCAGGACATATCCAAGTCTAGAGACAATTGAATCCATGGGCAAAAATTCTCCCCAATTTTGAACTATTTCTTTCAAAAAACAAACAGGAAATGTTTGTAGCATGATTGTAGTAACAATTCTGATTTACTTTTAATTCTTATTGTATTAGTTGTCTGTTTTCTGCTGTGTGTATATGTATGCAACTTGCCCTAGTTAGTTGATTCAGCCCTTCCACAGGCAGGGGACATTTGGTAGAAGCAATGTGCCATGCTTAGCCTGTAAGATGTTAAAGACAGCTTTTTGATCCCCTAACAATCAAAGATTTCTGTTGCCTCCATCCAACCAATTCTAGCTAAAGGGGAGCAGAAAGATGTAGCTGCTTGCCCACTTAATACAAATATATTTTGCGTGTCACTAAATAGTCTTAGACCTATTTTTTTTTTAAGATTTTATTTATTTATTTGAGAGAGAGAGAGAGAGAGCGCGCACGAGATCCAAGAGGGTCAGAGAGAGAAACAGACTCCCCGCTGAGCAGGGAGCCCGATGCGGGACTCGATCCCGGGACTCCAGGATCATGACCTGAGCCGAAGGCAGTCGCTTAACCAACTGAGCCACCCAGGCGCCCTAGACCTATTTTTAATAAGTAGATTTTATTCCAGCTTCCAGATTTGCCTTACATTGTTTAGCTGAACCTCTACTGTTGGATATTGAGATTGTTTTCATTTTTGCTTCCATAAAAATATCTACATAGGTATTTTTTGCAGACCTTCATAGCTTTTTCCTTAGGGTAAATTTTTAGAAGTCGTATTACTGAACCAAGAGAGTTGTGTATCTTAAGGCATTGGATATTGAATATGTACTATTAAGTTGATTGGGATCATTTTTATCATTCTTCAAGTTTTCCAAAGGGATTAATTGGGCTTAAGAGAACATCATCAGTCATAATTGAATTCTCAACTCCTTCCATATATTGAATAGAGAACAGAAGTTAACAAAAACTTTTTTTAAAGATATAGAGTCTGACATGGGGCACCTGGGTGGTGCAGTCAGTTAAGCATCCGACTCTTGGTTTGGATCAGGTCATGATCTCAGGGTTGTGAGATGGAGCCCCACATAGAGCTCCATGCTCAGCACAGAGTCTGCTTGAGATTTTCTTCTCCCTCTGCCCCTCCCCACCATACTCACACTCTCTCTCTAAAACAAATAAATAATTTTTTTTTTAAAAAAAAAGATATAGACTGTAACAGAAGCATATTATGAAGTAAAAATTCTAAATCCTTAAAGTCAAAATAGATAGTGGTTCACCTAGGTGGATTCATAAATGATTGAACCACTGCATTCAATGCGTGCGGCTTAACATGGTCAAAATCAAGCTATAAGTAATCTATTGTGGCATGCCACAGGAGGCTGTATTCAGTTCTGTCTAGTCCAGTAGTTTTATTAATGATTTGGCTAAGAGCATCAGCTTGTGTGTTTACATATTGTTTGCATGTTTAGTTGACATTGTTTTGGGAGAGAAACATAAACTTTTGGAAGATAAAATTCTAAGGAGGCTCAACAAATTAGAATGGTAGATAAAAACATGACATTTAACTGTTGTGAATTTTGCATATTGAGAAAGAATAGGAATAGATCAGCATTTATAAAAGTTAATAAGGGGTTTTATTTTACCAAAGCTACACAAGAGGTCATTGTTAGATAATCAAGTTATTATGATACACGATTTTATTACTAGATATATATGTTCTCTAGAATGAGGGAGGTGATATAACAAATCTATGTACCTCATACTAAGGACGTTGACAGACTAGAATTTATTCAGAGACACATTATCTTAGCATGAGTCTCTAGTTTTACTGGGTGATGAAATCTCTGTGCAAAAAGAGTGATAGAAAATGAGAAGAGAGTCAGGGCAATAGGGAAAGCTTACAGAGCCATCCAAAGCCTCCTAAGAAAAACAGTCAGTTGCTTAGTCATGTGGGATGTCTTCAGCAAGATACATAGAACATTTGGTAGGGGAGGGAAAGATAAATTTATCTGTGGGCTCTTTCCCATCTCTTGTCTCTCTTGAGTTAAAATTTGTCCTACAAAGTCTTTAAATGTCTGTATTTCCAACTTGAATTTACCAAGCCCTCTGGGCACCACTGAAGAAGCCAGAGACTCCATAGATTTCGTTGTTTTGGTCTTCAGTTCTGGAAATGCTGGAACCCCTACTGCAGTGGATGATACAGTGAAACCCTTGGTGAAACCCAGATCTTGGGGGAATGGGCAGAGTTGGAATCTTGGGAGATGAGATGACAGAGACAATGATGGGGTTCTCCATTCATCAAATGTCCAAGGCCCAGAAAACAGGATATCAAGTAAAAATGGAAAGGCCCATGAAGTGGATCCAGAATAATCCACTACTTTATATAATCCACTACTTGAGCCATTCAGATGCATTTTCATTTTTCGTTATATATACACATATAACATATCTTACATAAGAACTAGATGCTTTCATTTCTTCCCAAGATGGGATAAACAAGAACATACCAGAAACGGGCGCCTGGGTGGCTCAGTTGGTTAAGCGACTGCCTTCGGCTCAGGTCATGATCCTGGAGTCCCTGGATCGAGTCCCGCATCGGGCTCCCTGCTCAGCGGGGAGTCTGCTTCTCCCTCTGACCCTCCCCCCTCTCGTGTTTTCTCTCTCATTCTCTCTCTCTCAAATAAAGGAATAAAATCTTTAAAAAAAAAAAAAAAAAAAAGAACATACCAGGAACGTAGTGACTAGTGAGGAACGTAGTGACTAGCGGCAATCTCCTAAAAAAGACTTAAGGAATACTAGCCAACCAAGCCACTGCCCCTCATTGCTATAGCTGCAACTGAGGCTCTAATATTTATGTCATCCTCCTTTATCACCCTTTCTGGATTTCCTCATCCTCAGCCAATATTTTGGCTGGTCTGATTGCTTATCAGGTGGAATGGCATAAACCTTCATTTTTCAGGGGCCTTCAATTACTCATTCGCAGCTGTTATTGGGTATGGGAATAAGGGTTCCCCTAGTGAATATTCTGGGTTCTAGGCACAATTTTTCTGCCCCCACTGTGTAGTAACAAACCTATGATTTAATATAATCAGAATTGATTATCCTAAGAAACAGAACCTCCTGTCTTTGTCCACTGGTTCATTGGTATGAGGTATAAAAAATGGCCAGATGGTAATTGGTAGTCTTGACTTCCTTATCAATAGAACTTTTACTGTGTCCCTTTGTAGAAGTATCTTCCCTGGGAACTGGCCTCCTAACTATAGGAATGGAATGCACCAATTGCACAAGTGGGTCTCTAAGAGTGATAGTGACAGGAGCTAATTATTTCTTATTTTCACCACTTGGCTCCTGGACCCATATACTTTGTTTATTTGAGACATAGCACCACAAAAAACATGTCTGATTGGTAGCCACACATGATATCTTGAGGGTAAGATAGGCAAGGGGCAGCTGTTTCTCATCTCCTGCCTATAGGTCAGATGATCTCGCAGGATGTTCATTCCTAACACTTCAGGGTTTTATTACCAAGCCCTTCTGGGCCTTCTGGTGGAGGCAAAGTCTCCATAGGTCCAGTAGGATTGGACATGGACCTTCAAACTAAGGAGAATTAGTGTGTGCAAATGAGGAACTTTTAGTAGTACTAAGGTTATTAAACTCAAGACCAGAACACTTAACTATCTTCACATATTTAAGATATTCAATCAGAAACTTGACAACTATTTGCTGAAGGATTTTATAGAAGAATTTCAATAGTACCTTGAAACTTGTGAGACTGTGATTCTTAGAACGGTAAAGCTCTATTTATTAGGTAATTTTTCAACAGTTTCAAACAATATAGAAAACTTAAACAATGCACAGAATATCTTTGGAATATATCCACAGCTAGTTAAATTCTTTTCCTGTTGAATGAAATTGGATATCTGATTTTTTTCTTTTGGGGACAAAGAAGAAAACAGACTATGAGCAAAACGTGACCGGGGCCATAGGTTGACAAGTGATGAGTTATGCTAGGCAACCACAGCATTAGTATCAGCAGTCTTGGAACACTCAGTATGGAAGTAACCAGCTCCCATAATCTGCACACTATGACCTGAAAGCACCACAATAAAAGCAAATTTATTTTGATTTACTCTGCTTCCATGTGATCATGAATATTGCAATATATTGTAGAAAAGTCTTTTTACCATATTAGTTAAAATGAAATTATTTTGTGCAAAGACTAATTCAACTTAGCAATTACTTATAGAGCACTTACATTGAATGAGTCCCTCTTGTCATATGTGGAGGAGGAGATAGAAAATTGCTTCCGGTGTACAATAAATATTTGTTAATTGACTGTGGATTTACTTATGGCATGGTCTACCCAATGGTAAAAGTTTTTTAAAATAAAGACTAACTTACAAAGTAAAAAAGGAAATTTTGTGCCTAGGTATAATCTTAAAAGTGTCCTGAAACTGTTAGATCTATTTTTTCTAAAAGTATCTACCACTGTTTCATTTATCTAATTCTGTCTACCTCATCATACAAGAAATTAGTAGCTTACGGGAACAACTATTTTCTTATCTCGCATGGTTTCTGTGGCTCAGGGATTCAAATAGGGTAGTTTTTCCTCAAAGTTTCTCATGTGGTTATAGTAAGACATTGACTGGAACTAGAACAGCAGAGTGGAAGGTGCTGAAGTACCTGGGACTTGTCTTGGCATCTCTCTCTTCATGTAACTTCAGGGCTTTCCATGCATTCTCTTGGCATGTGCTAGTTTGGGCACTCTTACAGCATGGAGGCCTTAGGAAGTTGGATATCTTACATTACATTACAGGCTTCTGTGATGATGTAGCCTCAGAAGTCACACAGGGTGACTTCTGTCATAATCTATTGGTCACAATAGTCACAAAAACCTACCCAGTTGCAAGAGCAGAGGGTTGATTCTACCTCTTGATGGGAGGAGTGTTAAGGTTACACTGTAAGAAGGGAATGTGGGATGGGAAATACTGTTGTAGCCATCTTTGGAAAATGCAATCTACTACAACTACATTGAAAATATGAAAACAAAAATTACCCGCTAAAACATAGGGGTAATAATGTGCCTGTGCAAGTGGGTTTGCATTGCTGCATTCCACAGAGAAACACTAATACTCCTTTAAAAAATTGAAATAGTGTTATGTGCAACTAATGAATCATTGAACACTACAAAAAAAATTGAAATAGTACCTTTAAAAATGTGACACTACCCAATGTAATCTACATATTCATTATGCTCCTATAATTCCAGATGTTAGGGATTAAAAAGGCAAGGAGTAGCTAAAACCTGACACCCTTTTACTTCTCCCTTTCTGTTCCCAAATAGAGAATCAAATAGAGTTCCTTTTGGAGAAAATGGAACTTAATCACATATTTTGTTCATGACAAGTGAATCTGAAAAGCAGCAAAGAACTCTTGGCAACTTTTCACATTATGTAGTCAGAGCGATGACAAGTGCCTCCAAAACGGGTGTCCTACTATACTATAAAATAAATTGTTCATGTACAAAGAATCTGTACAATGCTCATCAGGAGGCTCTATGGGGTACTCATAGCTGCTGGATTACAAATGCACGAAAGCAATCTCAGAGATTCCTCGGAGGGTACTTAGATTTCTTTAGAAAGAAGATAAAGAAGAATTGCTCAAACTAGGTTATTTGGGAAGGAAAATATTCACAACCATTCTTGGGTCTAACTACCTCAACAGATTCAGTCAACAGATCAAATCAATATCTTGGTTTTAACATGTCATCCCTTTCTTTGTAACATGCTCGACCCTTAAGAAATACTTTCTTTCAGGTCCCCAAATTTGACTGGCATTTCTGCCCTTTAGCCACTGTGGATTCTTATGGATACAAAAGTAAAAGGAAAAAAAAAACATTGTCATTTCATTAAATGCTATTATTTTTGTGTTCAGACAATAACAAGTGTTTAGTGATGGAAAAAATCTTTCATTTCCTTTTTCATCTACAGATGAAAGGTATACTCTCCAGTTTGAGATCTTATCAATTTTCCCCTTAGGATCAAAACATAAACAAACATATTGCTTCATTTAAAGGGAAAAGATGCAAAAAAGCACCAAAAAAAGTAGACAAGTTGACAGACACATTTTAGTCTGCTTATTTCCATAAGGAAGACATTGTTAACTATGTGCAAATATTTTCTGAAGGATTTTTTAAGAGCGTTAAGTTGTTATTTGGGGTGGTGAGGCTCTTTAGAAAATAATTATTTTGAAATTTTGATTTTTGTTCCACTTCAGTAAAGTGAATCTCAGCCTTGGTATGCACCAGTAAGTAAAAAATTAATTCCTAATGTAGATTCCTAAAATAAGCCACTGAAAATCCCAAGTGTCAAAGTGGGAGAATTATGACTTTGTAATGTAGCCATAGCATTAAGGAATGATTCCTAAGGCATTTTCAATCTGCAACACCTTTTAAAAAAATTAGTAAGAAAAATGACCTCGCTTCTAATTCGTTTTCCCAACACTGATGTATTTGACTTAGCAGTGTCTGGATCTAAATTAAGATTAGTCTCTAAAGTACCTTTTGGCGAAGGAAGACTATAATGATTTTATTACTCTTTTTACATGAACCAGGAAAGGGAATTTTACAAGCATGAAAAGGTTCTTAAGTAGAGCGGATAGTGGAGGAAAAAGAACGAGTGAAAAGGTAAAATTGAGATCCTTCTCTCATTGCATTGTTCAACTTCCCACATCACAGATAGTGGTAAGGCTGTTTGCTCACTTGGTTAATCTCATTTTTCCCTTATCAACCCACAGGGTTCGTCTTCCGCCAGTGTTCAGTGTTAGTTGGAGCTATAAAATGGACTCTAGGGTAATGTAAGGGGGGGACAAACAAAAGGGGCTATTCGCTCATGCTGCCTGCATGTCACTCCCTTTGGTGTCAGCAGGGATTTTGTGCCCCGTGTAGGAAAATGTCTGTTTACAACTTGAGTGGATGCATTACTCTGCCCTATTACCACCATTTCACTTCAGTTCACTGGGAATGGAATGGATTCGTGTGGGGTGTGTGTGTGTGTTTGCTTCAAAAAGGCATCCTTTTAGAATGGGCCACTAATGTTGTAAACCTCATTATGTTTTGCTTTTCTTTTTCTATATACTAAAGTAATACAGCTGGCTTTCAGTATTCATTCTTCCTTTTCTGCGCCCTACCACCTAAACTTAAAACACACACACACACACACACACACACACACACACACACACACAGGCAAAGGTACTGTTCAACTTTTAGCTCATTTACATTATTTTTTTAAGGCACGCAGTGTAGTTGAGTGATGTTAAGCTCAACAGATTGTAAATGGAACCCGAAGTACCTTGTTAAGACAAAATGTGTTTGCTGTCCACTTAAGCACTTCTTGTTGCTGGTAGTTTTTTCCCAAAATTATCTGGGTGTAAGTGATGTAGCCAGTGGTACTTGTGCCATGGAAATAGCTGTGACCTGTATTTTTATGCTTCAGATTAGTTTTTATTCTGCTTATGGTGCTGATACCCTCCACACACTCTCACCTCATTCTTTTAAAGCAGATCCTCTTGGCATAAAACAAAGCAAGCTCTCTGCTCCCATGGAAGCTGCCGATTTGTAAGCCTGCTGCAAAGATCTCTTACTTTTGAGTAAAAAAGGTCGGGATGATTAACATAATGCTAACTCTGTTGGACCCCTTCTGTGCTTCAGTTTCTATCTGTGCACCAGTCAATAAGGTTAAAATTATACAGTCAGGGATTGTTTACTTTAAGCTGCTTGCAAAATATCAGAAGACTTTTCAAAGCATTAGCAACCAATTTAAGAGAAAATGAGTGGTAGAGGGGTCAGGGGGAAATATTTACTTTGGAAGGTCAATTGAATATTTGAAGAGAGTAACAGGTTTGGCTTCTAGGGTCAATGTTAATGTATCTAGTTGTCTATTTGATCCTAAATAATTAAGCTGTAGAAGCAGGAGGTCGAAAAACTTGTAGATTAGGTCCCCAGCAGGGACCATGCCTTAAAGTAGTCTGAACCAAAAAGAAAAAAGAAAGAAAGAAAGAAAGAAAGAAAGAAAGAAAGAAAGAAAGAAAGAAAGAAAGAAAGAAAAGAAAGAAAAGAAAGAAAAGAAAGAAAAGAAAGAAAAGAAGGAAAGAAGGAAAGAAGGAAAGAAGGAAAGAAAGAAAGAAAAAAGAAAAGGCAGTGAGAAGTTTGTTGCCAGGGCAGGTCATAGCCTACTGTCCTGGATCTTTAGTCTGGGCAACTCCACAGAGATCAAGGCAGTTACATTCTCCTCTGTCAAGCCATGTGGGCAACGTTTGTCCTGTGATCTGTATTTTATGTTAGTACCACAAATGATACTGACTCTACAGATGTGATTGCTTCAGGGAAATGCATAACCTGGTGGCTTCTGGAAGTTGTTATCACCAATGTTTGAGTCACACACACATTTCAACATGGTTGGCTTTCTTAAAATCAAAGTATACCCCCTAATTATGCTAGTTAATTGCAATTACTATACTTGAATTATATCCATGATAAATGAGCACTGGCATCTATCAAATTAATGTGTTTTTTAAAATTTTTTATTTTTTTATTATGTTATGTTAATCACCACACATTACATCATTAGTTTTTGATGTAGTGTTCCATGATTCATTGTTTGCGTATAACATCCAGTGCTCCATGCAGTACGTGCCCTCCTTAATACCCATCACCAGGCTAACCCATCCTCCCACCCCCCTCGGGCCCTCTAGAACCCTCACTTTGTTTTTCAGAGTCCATAGTCTCTCGGTTCATCTCCCCCTCCGATTTCCCCCCTTCATTCTTCCCCTCCTGCTATCTTCTTCTTTTTTTTTTTTTTTTTAACATATAATGTATTATTTGTTTCAGAGGTACAGATCTGTGATTCAACGGTCTTGTACAATTCACAGCGCTCACCATAGCACATACCCTCCCCAGTGTCTATCACCCAGCCACCCCATCCCTCCCACCCCCACCACTCCAGCAACCCTCAGTTTGTTTCCTGAGATTAAGAATTCCTCATATCAGTGAGGTCATATGATACCTGTCTTTCTCTGATTGACTTAATTGTGTTTTTTTAATAGAAAAATTTGTGTCCTTTAACATGATTGTGTTATCTGCAAGAACATTTATGTTGTAAAAATCAGGGGGTGAGAACTGGAGAAGCATTGTGCTTTTCCAGTGGTAATTTTACTGCGCTTATGGCAGGCATAATTCTCACAGATGGACGGCTTAGTTTTTCCTTTTACACATCACACTCAATGAATTGAGTGGTCACAAAAGTAATAATGATAAAAATAAATAAAATGTTGGGCTGTTTATTTTATTATTAATTTAATTATGTGTTTTTAAATGTACCATATCCAAAATCTTTTCTGGAATTCTCCAATTTAAAAGTCAACTGTCCAGTTGGGAATTAAATAATTTTTCATCCTCTATCCTCTGATTAAAGTAAACTAAAACCAAAGATTTATTTAGTATGCAGATCTGGTTTTTAATATTTTTTTAAAGATTTATTTATTTGAGAGAGAAAGAGAAAGCACAGAAGGAGAGTGAGGGGGAGAAGCAGACTCCTCACTGAGCAGGGAGCCCGATGCAGAGCTCGATTCCAGAGCCCCGAGATCACCGTCTGAGCCAAAGGCAGACACTTAACCGACTGAGCCGCCCAGGAGCCCCGATTTTTAATATTAAAATCATATTTTCTTGGAAGAATTTTCATTGCTATGTCTATGCTCTGTACTCTACTGTTTTTTTTGTGTGTGTGTGAAAG